TCTTTTAATCAGTCTTTATCATCTAATTACCAGAGAAACTGCATTCACTTCCCTTTCAAATGGTGCTTGTTACATGAAGATATGGAAATTGGTTCTCAAGTTATATCATATTTGGTAAAGTAACCCTTACAATAAGTTGAAAACTATTTTTTTGGGATATGACCCCATGCAGAAACTATTGTGAGTAATAGACCAAGGCCAATTTCTGCGGAATTCAATTAACTTTTCAATGATATGAACAAATCTTAGAGCAGATATAAAGTGCGGTACAGAAGCTCAAAAATTTCTGTCAGAGGAAAAACTGAATATTTCTGTTAATTTTCTGAATCTTTCCTTCCATGAAAATTATCTAATTAATTATAAAACTACACACACTTCTCTTTCAAATGTAGTTTGTTGCATGGAGAAGTCTCGACTATTTCCCGAGTTCCCACATAAACTAAAATGATTCGCCCTTATACACTAATCTCAGCATGACGTATGCATAAACGCAGTTATTGCATGTCTATTGATGTTTTCTAGCATTGACATGTGCTTATATTTCCAAACATGTCTATGCAGGTGTACATGTAAAATAGGGTACATTTGTGTACACAAATGTGCACATGTATATAAACATGTGCATACATTTACTTGTTTATTTAAAATTGTGTACATGTATGTGTATGTAACTTTGTGTATATGTATGTGTACATGTATGTGTAAATACGAGTAACCTTGAATCGTTATTCTATTCTATAGAAATAACTGTTTAGAAAACATTGATATTTGGAAATATAAAATCACCAATATTTCCATGAACATTTCATTTCTTAATGTAATAACACATACTGATTAATTATAGGCCTATATCTCGTGAGTTTGTAGAGTTATTTGATATTTCATGTGGGATTTTTAGCCTTTATATACTTCAGTCATTTATATTTAATATAAAGTAGCTACATTATTACTATTATGTCTTTTCTCAAGTACTTTGGCTCCAATTAAGACAAAAAACGTAAAATCTTTGCTATGCACAAAGTCTATCCGGCTGGCAAAAACATGAAAAATCTTGCCTGGCTCACCACAAGACCATGTAGTCAACAAAATTATCCTAAACAAACAACTTATGTTTGTTTATACTTTGAGATAAGAGACTCACCACTGGACATGCATTATTATCGAGCCCTAAAGTTAAATACATGATATTTATCTCAAAATTGAATGATACATACCACACTTATAAAAAAGACATGAAAAATTTTGAAGATTCTTTATTTTCATTTTTTTCATCATAAAACCCTCAAATTGGTAGGAATTTGTTATTATAAAACAGTTTCATCCTCCTGTGACTTATTTCAGTAGGTAATGTCAAAATAGTTTCATTTTTGTTCCAGTTGGAGATAAATACATACGTATAAAAGTTGACGGTGTGAGTGACTCCCTAGAATTCACGGACTCTGTCACAGCTGAGTTTTTAATTGCGGAGGTTTATATTCACATAGGTAATTCTATATTCCTATACGTCTGAAAACGGGTACAACTCATTTATGACAACCGCCACCCCCCAGACCCGACTACCCTCACCAAATTCTGCGACAGTCCCCTTAACTCCAATTATTTTTTCAATATTAAATGAGCAGTATTACATTATCTAATTAACCGTGATGTATCCATACCGAACATTTTAACCTGCACAAAATGGCATGCTATCCTAGCACTGTTTGATATATGGCTAAGGGGCTAATGATTAAAAAGGTTTCAATGCTTTCATATCCTATCTTTCATCTGAAAAAATATATATAAATAAATGAAAAAAAAAAAAATAAAAAAAAAAATAAATAAAATAATAATAATAATGACAAAAATAAATAAATAAAAAATCCTTTTCAACCATTTCTTTGTAGAATGTCATGAGTACATTTACATGTGCTCCTTTGCGTGCGTGTGTGTGCACCCCTGTGTGAGTGGTGTGTGGTGTGTGTGCGTGGTGTGTGTGTGTGTGTGTGCACCTGTGTGCTGGTGTGTGTAAATGTGTGCGTGTGTGTGTGTGCACCCCTGTGTGCGTGGTGTGTGTGTGCACCCCTGTGTGCGTGGTGTGTGTGTGTGTGTTGTGTGTGTGTGTGTGCGTGGTGTGTGTGTGTGTGTGCGTGGTGTGTGTGTGCACCCCTGGTGTGTGGTGTGTGTGTGCACCCCTGTGTGCGTGGTGTGTGTGTGTGCTGTGTGTGTGTGTGCTGTGTGTGTGTGTGTGCTTGTGTGTGTGTGTGTGTGTGTGTGTGTGTGTGTGTGTGTGTGTGTGGTGTGTGTGTGTGTGTGTGTGTGTGTGTGTGTGGTGTTGTGTGTGTGTGTGTGTGTGTGTGTGTGTGGTGTTGCGTGTGTGTGTTGTGTGTGTGTGTGTGTGTGTGTTGTGTGTGTGTGTGTCTTGTGTGTGTGTGTGTGTGTGTGTGTGTGTGTGTTGTGTCTTGTGTGTGTGTGTGTGTGTGTGTGTGTGTGTGTGTGTGTGTGTGTGTGTGTGTGTGTGTGTGTGTGTGTGTGTGTGATGTGTGTGTGTGTGTGTGTGTGTGTTGTGTGTGTTGTGTGTTCTTGTGAATGTGTGTGTGTGTTCTTGTGAATGTGTTCGTGTGTGTTCTTGTGAGTGTGTGCGTGTGTGTTCTTGTGAGTGTGTGCGTGTGTGTTCTTGTGTGTGTGTGCGTTGTGTTCTTGTGTGTTGTGTGTGTGTTCTTGTGTGTGTGTGTGTTCTTGTGTGTGTGTGTGTGTTCTTGTGTGTGTGTGTGTGTGTTCTTGTGTGTGTGTGTGTGTTCTTGTGTGTGTGTGTTCTTGTGTGTGTGTGGTGTGTGTGTGTGTGTGTGTGTGTGTGTGTGTGTGTGTGTGTGTGTGTGTGTGTGTGTGTGTGGTGTGTGTGTGTGTGTGAGTGAGTGAGTGAGTGAGTGAGTGAGTGAGTGAGTGAGTGAGTGAGTGAGTGAGTGAGTGAGTGAGTGAGTGTGTATGTGTGTGTGTGTTCTTGTGTGTGTGTGTGTGTGTGTGTGTGTGTGTGTGTGTGTGTGTGTGTGTGTGTGTGTGTGTGTGTGTGTGTGTGTGTGTGTGTGTGTGTGTGTGTGTGTGTGTGTGTGTGTGTGTGTGTGTGTGTTCTTATGTGTGTGTGTGTGTGTGTGGTTTTCTGTGTGTGTGTGTGTGTGTGTTGTGTGTGTGTGTGTATGTGTGTGTGTGTGTGTGGTGTGTGTGTGTGTGTGTGTGTGTGTGTGTGTGTGTGTGTGTGTGTGTGTGTGTGTGTGTGTGTGTGTGTTGTGTGTGTGTGTGTGTGTGTGTGTGTGTGTGTGTGTGTGTGTGTGTGTGTGTGTGTGTTGTGTGTGTGTGTGTGTGTGTGTGTGTGTGTGTGTGTGTGTGTGTGTGTGTGTGTTGTGTGTGTGTGTGTGTGTGTGTGTGTGTGTGTGTTCTGTGTGTGTGTGTGTGTGTGTGTCTGTGTGTGTGTGTGTGTGTGTGCTTCTGTGTGTGTGTGTGTGCTTCTGTGTGTGTGTTCCTGTGTGTGCGTGCGTGTGTGTGCGCGTGCGCGCCTTCGTGAGGGAGGAGGGGGTTAGGGGTGAGGGAGGAGGGGTTAGGGGTGAGGGAGGAGGGGTTAGGGGTGAGGAGGAGGGAGGGGTGAGGGGAGGGGGTTAGGGTGAGGGATGAGAGGGTTAGGTGTGAAGGAGGATGAGGTTAGGGGTGAGGGAGGATGGGGTTAGGGTGAGGGGATGGGGTTAGGGTGAGGGAGGAGGGGTTAGGGGTGAGGGAGGAAGCATTAGGGAGTAGGGAGTAGGGGTTAGGGGTGAAGGAGGAAGCGGTAGGGGTTAGGAAGGGGTTATGGAGGAGGGAAGAGGGATTAGGGGTGAGGGAGGAGGGGTTAGGGGTGAGGAATGAGAGGGAGGGGTGAGGGAGGAGGGGTGGTGAGGGAGGAGGGGGTTAGGGGTGAGGGAAGGAGGGGTTAGGGGTGAGGGAGGAGGGGGTTAGGGGTGAGGGAGAGAGGATTAGGTGTGAGGGAGGATGGGGTTAGGGTGAGGGAGGATGGGGTTAGGTGTGAGGGAGGGATGGGGTTAGGTGTGAGGGAGGATGGGGTTAGGGGTGGAGGGAGGATGGGGTTAGGGGTGAGGGAGGAGGGGGTTAGGGTGAGGGAGGGGGTTAGGGTGAGGGAGGAGGGGTTAGGGGTGAGGGATGGAGGGTTTAGGGTGAGGGAGGATGGGGTTAGTGTGAGGGAGGATGGGGTTAGGGGTGAGGAGGAGGATGGGGTTAGGGGTGAGGGGGGAAGGATTCGGGAGTAGGGAGTAGGGGTTAGGGGTGAAGGAGGAAGCGGTAGGGTTAGGAAGGAGGTTTTAGGAGGTTAGGGGTGAGGGAGGTTAGGGGTGAGGGAGAGGGGGTTAGGGTGAGGAAGAGGGGTAGGGTGAGGGAGGAGGGGGTTAGGGGTGAGGATGGAGGGTTAGGGGTGAGGATGGGGGGTTAGGGGTGAGGATGGAGGGTTAGGGGAGGTAGGGGTTAGGGGTGAAGGATGGAGGGTTAGGGGTGAGGAGGAGGGGTTAAGGGGAGGATAGGAGGTTAGGGTGAGGATGGAGGGGTTAGGGGTGAGGATGGAGGGGTTAGGGTGAGGATTAGGGGGATGAGGGAGGAGGGGGTTAGGGTTGAGGGTTAAGGGGGTTAGGGTTGAGGGTGTAGGGGGTTAGGGTTGAGGTTTAGGGGGTTAGGGGGGGGGAGTAGGGGTCAGGGTTGGGGAGTAGGGGGTTAGGGTGAGGAAAGAAGGCGTTAGGGATTAGGGCGGAGGGATGATGGGTTAGGGGTGATTAGGAGGGAGGATGAGTGAGGGGGAGAGCTAGGAGGGGAGGAAGGAATGGGGAGAGGAAAGGGGAGGGGTAGAAAGTAGAGGGGTCGGGGAGAGATAGATTGATTTGTTTATAAACTTACCTTATAAAATTTTGACTCTATGTGTAACTGAGGATGTTTTGTTTTGATGCATTCTAGCTTTATAGCAACCTCTTCGCCTGTCGATATGTTCGTGC